TTTAAATCAATTTCATAAACATTATTTTACACAATTGTAATTTTTCAGTGTAAATTATTTAATTTGATCAGCCCCTAGGGTAACAGCTCTATAGTGTCTTATTATTCTAAATAATTGAATTTATTGACCAAATTTATGAATTTAAAATGAAAGATGAAGCATACATTTAGGCTAATAATATAGGGGGAGGGGATGCCCTTTAAAGGTGCAGATATTACAATATGCCGATTTAAATATCAAAGCTGATTGAACACTGATGAGAATAATCAGAATAAATGAGAATATTGTTTCAGAATAAATTAACACACACACCAAAAAAAAAAAATCCGGACGAGCAATTTTTTTACTCAGACAAGTGAAAAGGCTTAATGTCGAGCAATGTTAGCAATGTCATCAGGTAGGCAGTGGCCCACCTTACCGGGTGACCACGTCGTGGTCCACCAGAATTTATAGTTTACCCACCTCTTTTTTTACCACTACACCTCTGGTTCCAATGTATCCTAGAATACCAGCCTCCTCTGTTCCCCTGGTCGGGTGAGCCCTCGGAGGTTCCAGCTCTCAACCACTGGTTCGAGCAGAGCGAGAGGGTATGGGACTCAGCTCATGTGCATCTCCAACAGGCAGTGCAGAGACACAAGAGACAAGCGGACAACCGTAGAACACCTACCCCTCTGTACCAATCGGGCCAGAAGATATGGCTCTCGACGCGGGACATCCATCTCCGGCTGCCCTGCCGTAAGCCGAGTCCCCGGTACATGGGTCCATTCACCATGCAGAGGCAGCTCAACAAAGTCACCTTTGGGTTAAACCTACCATCGCATTACAGAATTTCACCATCCTTCCACGCATCACTCCTCAAACCTAGTACCTCCTCCTCCCAACATCGCCAAAGAGGAGCCCATCTACAGGGTTTGAGCTATCCTAGACTTGTGACGACATGGGTCCCAGGCTGGAATACCTCATAGACTTGGTAATACGTTATGATATCCTCGATCCTACACTCCTCACACAATACCACTCAGAACACCCAGATCGACCAGCTCCCAGAGGTCTAGTCATCAGGAGCCTCCCTTTGAGGAGGGGGTACTGTCACAGAGTCACCAGATCAGCACGCTCCACCCCCTCGTTCACTCTCCCCGTAATTGTGATTCACCGAACCTGCACATCATCACCTACTCACACTATAAAGAGACACTTCCCCTTCACTTCCTTGTCTGGTTTCATCCTTACGTGATCTCACAGACTCTAACCAATCACTTATCTGTTGCTACTTCCTCATCAGTGCTTCATCTCCGATCATCTGCTTCCTGTCATCCGTCTTCAGTCATCTACCTGCTGTATCCACAGTCATCATCTACTAACAAGAGATCAAGATTACCACCCAGCTAAGTTCATTATCCAGTTCAGATTCTTCAATATATACACTCACCAGTCATCTCTGCTGTTCCACTCCATGCCTCTGTTCAAATAAAACTCTGTTTTTGAACTACTCACCTGTCTACTTCTCTCTATACCGTGACAGCTCATTAGACAACTTCAGGAAACGTTTTTTCTTATGTGTACGGTTTCTCTCCAGGATGAATTCTCTGGTGCTGTTTTAAGACACTGGATGAAGTGAAGGTCTTCTCACAGTCAGAGCACACATGAGGTCTCACACCAGTATGAATACTCTCATACACTTTTAAATGTTCCAGTTGTGAAAAACACTTTCCACAAAAAGAACAAAAGTGAGGCTTTACACACCAGTATGAGTTTTAAGGTGCTTTTAAGCTTGATGCCAAAACAAATAATTTATCACACTGATCACAGCTGAATGATCTCACTCCAGAGTGAAAGTGCATGAGATCTTTGAGAGCACTTTTTCCACACTGAGTGCATGTGAACAGTTTTTCTTCATCGTGAACTCTCATGCTGTGGGCAGCTTGGGAAGTGGAATTAAACGACAGGCCTTGGAGAAGCAATCTATTACAGTGAGTATTGTGCTATTACCATTGGATTTTGGAAGATCGGTAATAAAGTCTATGGCAAGATGGGACCATGGTCGGTGAGGAACTGGCAATGGATGCAGTAAGCCGGATGGTAATTGTCTGGGATGTTTGCTTGTGTTACAGGTGATGCATTTGTGAATAAATTTAATTGCATCTGTCCGCATGGTTGGCCACCAGAAGCTGTTCTGAAAAAGGTGAAAAGTGGCAGAAATTCCAGGATGACCGGAGCTGAGTGAGGAATGAACTTGCTGTAACACATTCTTACAGAGATCCTGAGGTACAAAAGTTCTGTCAGGAGGGCAGTATAAAGCCTGGGTGGGGAACCATGCTATTTGTGAGAGGATGACTCCAATGTCCGTATTTTTTTTTTTATAAGGTTGCCGGTTGTGGCCAGTCTAGAACAGCTTTGACTTTCTTCTTGTCCATAGCGACTTCCTCCTGACTGATGATGTAGCCCTTACATCATAATACTGTATTGTAATACTGTCCCTACGTGTTGCACGTGCTCCTCACAGGTGTTGAAATAGATGAGAATATCATCGATGTAAACGATTACCATACAGTCAAGCATGTCCCGAAAGACGTCATTGATTAAGGATTGAAATACGGAAGGACTGTTGGCAAGCCCGAAGGGCATAACCAAATATTCATATTGCCCAGTGCTGGTAGAAAAAGCTGTTTACCACTCATCACCCTCCCTGATGCGAATGAGATTATAGGCGTTGCAGAGGTCTAGTTTGGAAAAGTATTTGGCATTGCGAAGTTGTTCTAGCGCCAGTATCGAAACTTGATGGTGATGTCGTTGAGACCGCGGTAGTCGATACAAGGGCGTAGACTGCCGTCCTTTTTTTAACGAAGAAGCAGCCAGAGGCTGCAGGTGACTTAGATGCTCTGATAAACCCTTTTGAAAGTTCCTCCTCGATGTAGTTCCTCATAGTTTCGGATTCGGGTTGTGATGGGGGAAAAATTCGGGGGAAAAATATTGGTCATACAATCAGGGTCAATCACCAGCAAACACAACAGTAGAGACAAAGCAACTCGTAATCTGAAAACAGGCGTAAGGTCAGGGCAGGCAGCAAAATTTACATAAATCAGTCCAATATAGAAAACAGTCCAGGGCAACCAGCAAAGAATCACGAAGAGGATAAACAGTCCAAGATTAATCCATGGGAAGACAAAAACACAGGAAGAAACGGGAAGATGGTCACCAGGGCAAAACAAAACTTCGCAATGAGGTAGAGTCTGAGAGCAGCTTAAATAGTCCACTGATGAAAGTCAGGTGCAAGGGTAATCAGTGCCAGGTATGTGAGAGGGAAATGTAGTTCAAAGAGGTTTAATATTCGGGAGAGGGATCCCTCTGGTGGCGAGCAGAAGGAATCACGGGAGTCTCGTTTGTGACACTTGCAGAGATGTGCTACATGGCTTTGTTTGAAACTATTTTCATTATGAAATAGTCTGTGACAGATTTCTTATTTGCTCTATGCTAACTATCAGACACATCAATAAATTATATATAATGATTAAAAAATATATAATTGTTGCTTAACAAATACAGGGCAGTTCAATAACAAATATCCTAATTTGACAGATGGCGAGATTGGTATTGAAGATAAATTACAATACAAACAATAAGTTATACAGTAAGTTACAGACAGATTCCTGTAGCAGCTACATCTTGTCATTGATGTGATCGCTGAGGTTTTTTTTTTTTTTCTTGAAGATAATGTCCATCTCAAATTTCAAATGAATTGATCTAGTCAAGTGAAATCGAGAAAATTAAAATCCAAAACATCTAATCTCATTGGCTGGATCGAATGTGACTTATCGATGGTTGGCCAGTTTACATGTCAGTCAGTTCTACTGGACTCAGTGGGCGGGGCTTGTCGAGAGTGAATGACAACTTATGTTTGACACATTTAGATGTAGAGAGCAGATTTTTTTTTAATGCGCATTAAAACTCAGTGATGATCAGTACAAGGTATGATAATAGAGGGATGATGACTTTACTGTTAGAATCAATGAAATGATTGTGTCTATAGTTCATGAACATTAGATCAGGTATGTCAGTGAAAATGTGTTTATCATAATACAGAAAATATTAAAATATATTTAAATCAGAATACACATCTAGTCTATAAGTTTACTATTGAGATATTTATCTATCTTAAGAATATTAGGAATATCTTTTACAATTGAATTAATTAAAAAAAGAATAAATACATAGGAACAATGAACAAACTATATTTCATGAACAAATATAGCATTATAGAATCATTAGATTAAAATGCAAATTAAAGGTATGAAAAGGTCTGCATGTGAATCAAATACATAAAAAAATACAAACAAAATGTACTTGTTTGTTGTTTCTTTATTGTTAACATAAAATATGATGGATGAAAGCCAAATTACAAATATCAATTTATGACAGAACCCTAAATCCAAATTCATAATTAACAATAATAAAATAGCCTGTTTGATTATTGTTTTGTAAGTTACAGAGAACAATGTTTTAAATAATACAAAATACACAAATTACATATGAACTTGATTATTGTTACAGATAATGATAATTTATAAAATGAAAACTTTAAACTAAATTGAAAATATAAATACATAAATATATTTATGCTAAAGCAAACCACATCATTTAAAACTCATAGTAACATTTCAAATATGAAACACAAGTTTACATTTTTCTTATGTTTTTACATTTGCTCAATTTTAAAGGTTGTGGTGTTTTTTGTCCTTTTGTGCCTCTTTTACTTTTGTAAGAATTATCTTGGCCAGGAATTTGATGTGAAATTGAAGTGTAGTTGAAATGTTAATGTTGTTTCATCATTTGTACATCAGATTGCAACATTGATTTAATTATGTTAACATTACATCAAGTGCTGGTCTAATTTCTTTTTCTTGCTTCCCCCACCCAAAATCAAAATGCTGGTCTAATTTCTTTTTATTGCTTCCTCCACCTGGAATCAAATTCTGGTCTAATTTCTTTGTATTGCTTCCTCCACCTGGAATCAAATTCTAGTCTAATTTATTTTTCTTGCTTCCCCCACCTGGAATCAAATGCTGGTCTAATTTCTTTTTCTTTTTATTGCTTCCTCCACCTGGAATCAAATGCTGGTCTAATTTCTTTTTCTTTTTCTTGCTTCCTCCAACTGGAATCAAATGCTGGTCTAATTTCTTTTTCTTTTTCTTGCTTCCTCCAACTGGAATCAAATGCTGGTCTAATTTCTTTTTCTTGCTTTCTCCACCTGGAATCAAATGCTGGTCTAATTTCTTTTTCTTTTTCTTGCTTCCTCCAACTGGAATCAAATGCTGGTCTAATTTCTTTTTCTTTTTATTGCTTCCTCCACCTGGAATCAAATGCTGGTCTAATTTCTTTTTCTTTTTCTTGCTTCCTCCAACTGGAATCAAATGCTGGTCTAATTTCTTTTTCTTTTTCTTGCTTCCTCCAACTGGAATCAAATGCTGGTCTAATTTCTTTTTCTTTTTCTTGCTTCCTCCAACTGGAATCAAATGCTGGTCTAATTTCTTTTTCTTTTTATTGCTTCCTCCACCTGGAATCAAATGCTGGTCTAATTTCTTTTTCTTTTTCTTGCTTCCTCCAACTGGAATCAAATGCTGGTCTAATTTCTTTTTCTTTTTCTTGCTTCCTCCAACTGGAATCAAATGCTGGTCTAATTTCTTTTTCTTGCTTTCTCCACCTGGAATCAAATGCTGGTCTAATTTCTTTTTCTTTTTCTTGCTTCCTCCAACTGGAATCAAATGCTGGTCTAATTTCTTTTTCTTTTCCTTGCTTGCGTTCGATGTTGAAGTCTGAAGCAGAAGAGAGAGAACAGATACACACTCATACATATATTAAGCCAAATAACCACAGAAATCATGGTTGCGTTCTGACATTCTCACTTTTACCAACATTGTCCTGCATCTTCTGTAAGACACTGAGCTTCAGGTTGGTCAGGTGATCTGTGAAAGTGACCGTCACACTTGGACTGGGGTCTGGATCTGGAAGATATTGGCCTCTGAAACAACATTCAAGAGTCAGAGATGCTGCTCATCGAAAAAGGGATATAGAACTCAAGGGTTCTTGACTCAATTTTAAGAACCCTTTATGCCAAAAAGTTTCTAAGGAGAAATGTCTTAAATTTTTTACTCTCATGTTAATTTGGTCATTTCAATTTTTGCTGATAAAGTTTATGTAGTGTCTGGACCAATCAGACACACAAATTATTCATTATATTTAATGAATAACACAGCAAACTCACTCTCCCAACAAAGGTCTATGAAACTTCCCCCAAAAACTAACATCCCAAATGAAGCTAACACACTGGCAGAACCCCGGTGTCCTGTTACAGGACACATTGAGACTGATGAGTTTTACGACCCCAGAGGAATTTCCTGACTCTCACTTAATTCTCACTGAGAAGGAGAAATTAATCCTTTTAATCCTAAATATTCTATATATATCCACTTGAGAAATGCATAAACATACATCTAATTTTTCCATCTCATGATTTTCCTTTATGTTGTTAGACCTATGTTTTCTTGTAAACTCTAATGGGTTAATGTTTCAGACTTTGCACACTATGGTTAACCAAAATCATATGTGTGGCATGTTTGGTCTCTATAAACTCCAAAAACTGATGGTTTGCTCAGGCTGTTGATCTGCTGAATTTCAAACAATGCTTTCCTATATTCTGCGTCAGCTCTCTTTCCCTTGGTAAACTGTATGCATGTATGTATGTGTATGTTAGAGTAGTTTAAAGGCTCGTACACACCGGGACGAATATCGGCGCGCGTTATTCGCCAGCGGTTTTCAACGCGTTTTTTGTGTTCACACCCAAGCAATTTTCGCTGACGATGCGCCGAGTGAACATGCCAATTCATTCCCTGACATTAGATGGCGCCCATTTGCTCTGCAATACCACTCCCACTCCATAACAGTTCTCTTTTATCAAGATTTTTGTAGTCGCTGTCGCGTTTGTCATATAGTTCTTTATGTTCCGACACCAACGAGACCAGCAGCTCTACATTCATCTTGCCTTGCATCTTCCTCGTCTTATTTCTTCTTCCCGGCCGTGTAGACCTGTCTATGGTGTAGACGCTACTTGGCGTATATCTTCTTCGCCGTTACGTATGTGTGCTCGGCAAGACCGTTTTGTGTTTGAGCGCCCCCAAGTTGTGTTTTACTGTAACTTCAGAAGCTCCAGACACGTGAGCAAAAGCGCCAATCTCATTGGTCGGATAGTTTTTGACGCGGCGCGTCAAACTAAAAAAACGAACTCGAGGCGTTTAAAAAAAAATTACGCTTTTAAGCGTGGCGTTTTTTGCGTTGGTGTGCACACTCACATTGGCGTCCTTTGTTTAGTCACGAGGCGTTAAACGTCGGCGAATATCACGCGCGAAATTCGTCCCGGTGTGAACAGGCCTTAAGTGTTTAGTCTAGTTAATAAAATCTTGTTCATGTCACACGTAAAGTTGTCCGTGTCTCAAGCTCATATCTGGAGTCACTAATCATAGTTCTTGACTACTTGCTCTTAGTAGTACTGTAAAGTAAGAAAGACATTTCCCATACTCCGGAAATGTAAATTTTTCTTAGAATTAATAAACAATTAACACTGTTCACGGGACAACCAGGTTAATTGATTGTAATATTAATTTACAACATTAAGTTAATTATATTAACTGATAAAAATATTCATAATCAATTATAACAAGTTATTATTGATTATTAATATTTCATAGAGCTGATTTGCTACATTTACAAGTAGTTAAATTCATAAAATGTAATTACTTGAAAGAATGAATGAATGGGTTAATTTAAACTAATGATAGGAAGCTCTACAATGTTCTATATATGAAGCGTCTGACGGAACCCTTCAATATTCCATATAGAACCTTTTCTTCTAAGAGTGATGATTTGAGTTCAGAAGCACATGAGAGACAAACAAACACAAACCTTTGCAATGTGACCTCAATGTTCTGTAAAGAAAAATAAAGAATTGTAAATTATTCAGCAAAACTGAGTTTGGCTTAAATCTCTGAAATTGACATTCATATAATTGGAGAATAATGAAATTTAATTGACACCTGCAGGAATGAAATATCTTCAGCCTTCATCTGCTCCTCGATGTCTCTGATTGTGATTGTGAGAGATGAAATCTGTTTGCTCATATCTTCAATCTTCTCCTTCATCATCTGACTCCTCTTCTCCTCTTCCTCTCTCAGCGCTGTTATTCTGGCCGCTTCTTCATCATGTAGAAACTGGTGAAGTTCCTCAAACTCATCTTTAATCTGCTTCTCTGTGCCTTGAGCGTGAAACTGAAATTAGAGACAACAATACTGACCAAACTAGATCTATATCAGTATCTACACTTCCAAAATTGCATTAATCACATTGTTTATTTCAAACCTTAATATCTTCAGCAGTTTTACACAGTTTCTGTTCACGATTCACAGATATTTTCAGTTCCTCCTGTAAGCGTTCCAGTGAAGCTTTGAGTATCTCCTGAAAGAAAACAACAAAAACAGGGTCTATTGTTACATTTATATTATTTTGGGATTTTTGCCTCTTTTATTTAATATAGTACAGACAGTGGAGGGAATGAATTTGAGCTGACAGATGCACTCAAAACATTTTTTTTACAACTTAATCTGACGTACTAAACCGATTTATTAAAAGCAAACATTAGATAATCTAGAAATTATACTTTTTTAAAAGGCTTTTTTTCATGTCAGTTAAGCTTAGTTCTCTCTCAAATTCTTATTGCTGTAATGCAGAAATATTTTACTCATTATACAGAATGTAAAGAGAACTGGATCAAAAACGCAGTAAATTTTATTAACAGAATAAACAAACTAATCAATACAAAAAACAGAGAACCCAACACAAGGAACACTGGGGTTTAAATACACAAGTGGTAACAGGCAAACAATACCCCCCTGGAAATACTCACAGAACTAATCAACAACAAGAACTACAAAGGACTACAAAACATGGACCAGAACAAGAAATTACATTAAAGTCAAGTCACATTTATTTATACAGCGCTTTTTACAATACAGATTGTTTTAAAGCAGCTTTACAGAGATAAGCGGGGGGAAAAAAATGCAACAAAGTTTGTTTTGAGTTTGTTTGTAAGAAAATAGCGTCTCAGTCCAGCTTAAGTAAGTTTAGTGATGTTTCATTTTTGTTGTAAAAAGTTCATAATTTAGTTCATTTCTATATATATATATATATATATATATATATATATATATATGTTTAATAGGGAGCCAATGCAGTGTTGACAGAACTGGGCTAATATGGTCATACTTCCTGGTTCTGGTAAGAACTCGAGCTGCTGCGTTTTGGACCAGCTGTAGTTTGTTTATTATGCGTGCAGGGCAACCACCCATAAAAGCAATGCAATAATCTAGCCTTGATGTCATGAACGCATTAGCTAATTTTTTCAACGCATTTGTCAATGAGAGCATATCAGAGATGGGGACTCGAGTTTGAGACTCGGACTCGAGTGCGACTTAAGTCCCACACACAGTGACTTCAGACTCGACTTGAGACTCGTCCCCGAAAGACTTCAGACTCGACTCGGACTCGAGCTGCGGGACTCGTGAACAATGTTTATTTTTAGGAAACGTCTGATGAGCTCGCTGTTATCCCCCTCCCTCCGTTACCTATAACCTGCCTACGTAACCACGTGGCCTATTGCTGGCAGCGCGCGCGCGACCGCACATGAGAGGATAACAAACAAAAAGTTCGACTGCACCGGCCACTGCTGTGCCATTCATCGTTAGCTTTGGGTTCAAAAACTTCAAACAAGACGCGCTCAAAAGAAGCGCTCAATGCAAAATATGCAGTATCACGATAAAAGATTCTGGCTCAACCACATCTAATTTTATCAGGCATCTGAAAACGCACCCTGATAGGTGAGTAAACATGTTTAGCTCAGCATTGACCATCTACCGTTAGCTTGCTTATTGCTTTAGCTACCTAACGTTACGAGAGGTTAACTCCGACTGTCTTCCTTATGAAATATGAATGAGCGTTTGTTTAATTGCCAAACTTGTGGTGGTCGATTAACGTAACGGTAATCATTTACGTGCCGCTGGCTGCCCGTTGTCTACAAACAGGTTTATTGTTGATCATGTAACGTTACTGTTTCATTTAGTTATAACGTTACACTGGTTTGAGAGTCTGGGATGTGTTGACTTACAGTATATAAGCTATGATTAATTGCATAGGCAGTGCAGCCAGAAGAAGCCAGAAATGTTTTGTGGCCCATACCTAGTGTGTTGAGAGAAGAGAAGGTTAACCAGTCTGATCTCACCCTTTGGATTTTTTTATTTCTAAACATTTTGTTCTTAACAAGTTACATGCCATAAGTTGGTCAGTTGCTTCACATTTACACTAAAGATTTTGAGCATTTTAATGTTTTGGAAGTGCACTGTAGTGTTAAAAATTTCATTTGGATGCAATAGTTTATTTGCATTTAGCTACACTGATGTTTTGCACTAAATAGGAGTGTGTCAATTTTAGTGTTGCGAGTTATATCATTTTCTATATTTGGTCTTATGTCTTGGTATGTTCAAGCTACAAGGCAAAATAACGAAATTAACTAAAAGTAAAGCATTCTTGGTGTTTTTGTCATGTTGCAATAGCCTTTTTACACTGATTATATACCAAAATCAAAGCTGATACTGTATGCTAATAGATAAAGGAGTCATAATAACATATGGTACCACTTTATTTTGATAGTCCACTTTATACATTCTACTAACTATAAGTAACTTTGCAGCTGCATGTCAACTAACTCTCATTAGAGTATTAGTAGGCTGTCTGCTTAATATCTGCTAATTATATATTATAATAACTTATTTTGTTGGTTCCCCAACAGATATTCTACTGACTATAAGTAACTTGGCAACTACAAGTCAACTTGTTCTCCGAACCCACATCATAACCTGACAGTCTACTACAGTCTACTAATACTCTAATGAGAGTTAGTTGACATGTAGTTGAAAATGTACATGGTTAGTAGAATGTCTAAAGTGGACTATCGAAATAAAGTGTAACCTAACATATTATATGCTTTGAATCCCTTATATAAAGCTATGCAGTGTTCTAAGCAACCTGGATGGGTCGCTGTACGTGATGCAACACTTATAACCACAAGAGACTTGAGACTTGACTTGGACTCTAGCTCAGAGACTTGAGACTTGACTTGGACTCTAGCTCAGAGACTTGAGACTTGACTTGGACTCTAGCTCAGAGACTTGAGACTTGACTTGGACTCTAGCTCGGAGACTTGTGAGCATCTCTGGAGCATATGACGTAAGTTAGATATATTTTTAAGATGGAAAAATGCGGTTATACAGATACTATTCATGTGACTTTCAAATGAAAGATTGCTATCAAAGAGCACACCAAGGTTCCTAACCGACGACGAAGACTTGACAGAGCAGCCATCAAGTGTTAGACAGTATTCTAGGTTATTACGTGAGGAAGGTTCTAATTCTGCTCGCATCTCAGCCTGCCTGACAGACATTTCTGGCTGGATGAAGGACCACCACCTTCAACTAAACTTTAGGAAGACAGAGTTGCTTGTGGTCCTGGCTAAACCAACACTACACCAAAACTTCTCCATTCAGCTGGGTTTGTCATCCATAACTACATCAAGGTCAACCAGGAACCTTGGAGTTGTGATTGATGATCAATTGAACTTTACAGACCACATTGCTAGTCCTTGTCCCTGCCCAACTCCTTGTCCAAGCACTTGTTCCATACAGACAGGACTATTATAATGCTCTCCTGGCAGGTCTTCCAGCTTGCACTATCAAACCTCTGCATATCAAAATTCTGCAGCTAGAGTGGTCTTTAACGAGCCGAAGAGAGCACACGTCACTCCTCTCCTCACAAAATTAATTGCACTGGTTGCCAGTTGCTGCTCGCATCAAATTTAAGTCACTGACTTTTGCCTACAGAACAACCACTGGCTCTGCTCCCTTTTACCTAAACTCATTACTTCAGACTTACGTCCCAATCAGAAACTGTCTTGTGGTGAACGCCGTCTTGTGGTGCCATCTAAAAGAGGCACTAAATCTCTTTTTCGGAACTTTTCCTGGTCTGTGCCATGCTGAGGGAATGATCTGCCCAACTCAACCAGAGCGGCTGAGTCTGTGTCCATTTTCAAGAAATGGCTGAAGACGCATCTTTTTCGGCAACACTTGATCCATTAATACTAACACTTTATTTTCTATTCTATATCTATTATCTTAAAAGTCTAAAGTACTGGAAAAGAGAGTAAAACGTTTCTGTTGCAATATCAAGTTTTTCTAAGCTATCTGGGATGCGGAGGAGTGATAGTTCTAACATATTTGTAACACTGAGTCGGATTTGTAACCTTGGCTAAATTAAGTATACACAAGACTAGATAACAATCTGAGATGTTATCGCTCTGCTGCAGAATTTCAACGGCATTAACATTGATTCCATGTGACAATATTAGATCTAAAGTATGATTATGACAATGAGTGGGTCCTGACACGTGTTGTCTAATTCCAATAGGGTTCAGAATGTCTCTAAATGCCGATCCTCAGGCTTCCTGGCCTGAGGCCCAATTCGTCAGGTTTGAGCTCTAAGACTATGTGCCATATTACTGGAGAGAAAAGCAGCACCATCCCAAGAGGGATGAATACCATCTCTTTTCAACAGGTCAGGTTTGCCCCAAAACTTTTCCAATTGCCTATTAACCCTATATTATTTTGCGTACACCACTTAGACAGCCAGCCATTGAGTAAGGATAGTCTAATAAGTATCTCATCACTCCGACGAACAAGAAGGGGTCCAGAGCAAATTACAGTGCCTGACATCGTACTTGCGAGTTCACACACCTCTTTAACATTAATTTTAGTGATCTCCGATTGGCAAAGTCGAACATCATTAGTGCCGACGTGAATAACAATCTTAGAGAATTTACGATTAGCATTAGCCAGCTTTAAGCCCCTTTAAATTTGCTTTGATGTCAGGCGCTCTGGCTCCCAGCAAACATGTGACTATGGTGGCGGGTGTCTCTATTTTCATGTTCCGTGTAAAAGAATCACCAATAACTAGGGCACATTCAACAGGACTCTCAGTGGGTGTTTCACTGAGTGGGGAGAACCTGTTTAATGTTGTAATAGGCTTTATGCACAGCTGCACTACTTCCTGAACTTCAGCCAGCTCCTTGTTTCCTGTCTGACATTATTGGACAAACTGATTAATCCAGGTGTGCCTGACCAGTAACAAATACCAGACACACCTGGGTTAATCAGTTTGTCCAATAATGTCAGACAGGAAACAAGGAGCTGGCTGAAGTTCAGGAAGTAGTGCAGCTGGGCATAAAGCCTATTGGAATGGAAGAGTTGTGTTTCGTCCCGCGACTGCAGTGTCTCACGGTCACCCAGTTGCCCTGCTGCACGGTCTGTGAACAATGTACAGAGTTCACTAAGCTAGTTGCATCCAAAGCAGTATCTAAAGCCCTATCATTCTTACTATCCTCGATTAAAGTTTGGATGCGTGTCTCTAGTTCTGAAAGCTGGTTTGGAGCATTGATCAGCGGTTTGCAGAAGCAGCAATGGCATCGAGCAATTTTCGCAGGTTGTGCAAAAAAATTTTTAATTAAAGTGAGTGGTATTTACACCCACTCAAGCGATTTGTTTGTTAAATTAAAAAGAAGCCATTGAGCATCGTCAAGATGTTAAAAGGAATTGGATTGGATTAAACCCGCCAATAGCGCGTCAGGTGGATAAGCCAGTTTGTGATTGGTCCCCGCAAAATTGTAACGGAAGCAGGATAAAAGAATGTACAGCAGTGTTTCTCAACCTCTCCTGCAGGGACCCCCTGACAGGCCATGTTTTTGTTTTAACTCTGAAATGGCACACCTGATTCAAGTAATTAAAGGCTTAATGAGTAATTAGAGTAGGAATAGTTCAATTAATCAATTAGTCAACTACTCATTAAGCCTTTAATGACTTGAATCAGGTGTGCCATTTCAGGGTTAAAACAGAAACATGGCCTGTCAGGGGGTCCCTGCAGGAGAGGTTGAGAAACACTGATGTACAGGTTTCCAGGCTGAGCTGCAGGGCGAAATCAAATCGCTGGCAGATCAGGCTGGGTCAAAAATTGTCATAATTTAGAAATAAAAGCCATTTTTCCTAGCCTGATTTTAGCCTCTGATTTAGTATCTGCTGTGAGACTTCAGTGTTAACGCCCACTGCTGTAAATGGCTGACATGTTTGCATATGAAAAAGCTAGCATTACATGTGGAACTGTCTCTCTTGAAATCTTTTACTACGTTTTTACATATATGCTGCATGAGGCACGTCAGATTTGCCGGTCGCGGGTCAAAAACGCGTTCACCTCACGGCAGCACATACTCTCCACTGCTGATTCCATTGGGTGGCATAGCCCACACAAACACCTGTCAAACACAGCGATAGGGACATCGATCTCTTTTTTTCTGCAATTTACACTTTAAATGTTCAATTCTATCTATACCTTTATCAACTGTATAAACTAACTTCACAACTTTTACTTGCACTGATATACAGTAGCAAGACTTTTTCTTTTAGATGTCCTCTTTCATAGACAGCTATTTTCTTCTTGCTGTGTAAATTTGTTTGTACAAATAATTTTAAATTTAACCAGTCAATGACCACTCCTCCCCCAAGTCCAGACAGTCCCCCAGAACCAAGAAATGTCCCACAGCCAGGGCCCTCAAGGTTAAAAGAGAGTTTACGATTGAATGCTTTGTTGATTAGGTAGAAACTGGAATTAAATCCACTACAATGTGTGACCTCAGGAACAACTTGCTTTTGTCAGGCAGACAAAGGTGTACTCGACTGTGCATGCTATGGGCTGAAGGAGGTGAGCCTGGGAGAAGAAGAAAGCCCACACTGCATCGAAGAACCATCACGCCCTGAGGTCATCATGAAAGAAAACATTGGGCAGTGGTGCATTGTCAACTACGTTGGTGAACCCTACCCAGGAATCATCCAGGAGGTTGAAGAAGATGTTGAAATGCATGCACAAGAATGGGGCCAACAAATTCTTCTGGCTGAGTCCACGAGAGGAAATTAGCTGGTACAGGGATAAGCAAATTGTGTGCCCGATGAAAGAGCCACAACCTTTAAACAAGAGGTCCGTCCAGCTAGAGAAGACAGTGTGGAATTTCATAGAAAAACACCTGGGATACTGGTTTGTTCAGTTGTTTACTGTTGCTGTTACTGGTATCTGTGAAAATGTTTAAGTGTGAATTTTAAGTTATCTGAAAAATGTTTAAGTTTGAATATTGATCAGTGACGTGATGTCCACCTTGTTACCTCTGTTTTTTTATGTTAATAAAATAAGTTTAACAAATGTTATACATTTCTTTGTGATTAATTTTAGGGAATGAAATGGCTAAATGAAATAATTCAAAAATGGGGCAAACATTCCATTGAAGTGTCTTTTTATTCTAAAAGAAATGTGTTGAAATTACCACTGCCTTAAAATACAACAACATTTTTCAAGATAATGCTTGTTAATGAAAACTTTGTTCAAATACATTTGCAGGGTAAAGTGAGGGACATTTTTTGCTCTTAGAAATTGTAAATATTACAATAACTGTGAATTCAAAACATTGATTAATTGAGATGAGAATGTCATGTAACAGGGTGGACATTTGGCTTTTGCCAAGTGAAGAATTTGGTCAAAATGATCAGTCATATCCTGAGCTGGACCAATATATTTTTCTTGTAGTGTAACAATTCTTCAGATGTAATGATTAAACTTTTTTGATAGAAATTTACGTCACTGAAATGGCACAGAATAGTAGTAGGAATTACCCATCTTGCCCTTAACTTACATACATGTTTAAGAACATTAAAATACTTCAAAACAACTGCAACAGGCCTGTCTCTGAAATGTAAACAAGGAAGGCAACGCTGGTTGACAACACTAATCCTAAAATATTAGCAGATTTTTATCTTTTAAAAATAACATTGCTGTAACTACATACACATACTACATTCACATGTCTGAGTATTATATAAATATTGTAAATTAATGCATTTATTGACTACAAAGTGGCCCTCCAGGAGCAGAATCCATAGCTCTTCCTGGAACTATCTGAAGTCTACGCGAATCATGTGACGATCAAGCATTTGGCACTTTAGTGATCGCAACTATCTCTCTATACTAGTATCTCTCTCTGGTGTAGTTACATTCAAGTTATATTAAAGGGCTCAGCCCACCGCTCACCCCTCCCTTTCGAAGAAGCTACGGTGGCTAAAACGGGACAAACATCGTCGTCTGAGACAGCAGAGAATAGCCAGAGTAAAACAAGTTTCTGTACCACAGTCCATTATAAACCACATCATGGATAAAGTTTCAGGTGAGGATCAGGGGTCTTAATACATAATATAATAATAGTAATCAGCTGATTGTCTCACGAACGTAACCAGCACAGTCTCCCCACATAGCAAACCCATAATACAGCGAGGGAGAAGAACCACATGAAACTATATATTTTTTCTAACAGGGTAGTAAAAGTTTAGCTTGCTAATATGAGCTGTTACTGTGGCTGAGCTGGTTAAAGCGTAAAGCCTTCCTTAAACTCGACGCGTCCGCATGAGCCCAAAGGTGCGTGCGGCAAAAATGACGTGATTGTAAAAGCGCGCGCGCCTCCGCATCCCCTAGGCACACTTACTACACGCACAATAGGCTTTTTTTCTCTGATTTTGGAAACTCGATCGACTTAAAATGCTTCCAAGATCGACGGGTTGGTGATTCCTGTAACAGTAACTGGTCAATGACAAGAGTAGCCTACTAATCAGCTGTCTCACGAACTTAACCAGCACATTTATCCCCACATAGCAAAGCCATAACACAGCGAGGGAGAAGAATTAAGTTACATGAAACAATCCAACTACATATTTACACCACTGACAAGGGAAAAGTCACTACTCACGGTGTTTATGACTAGCTTCTTCTAGCTTCCTGCGGCTTCTCTTTCAAGGTAGTGACGAAACGCGCTCTGTAACGCTGTGTGTTCGCTGTCGGCTACGGTAGAAACATGACGTCACAATATGGCGACCTTCATAGAAGGGGATTCCCGCGCCTATGTAGATATAAATTCCTCATTCTAAGGTAATAAAAACATTACGGTTTATTAAGTAAGTTCTTTATACACCACTGAACACATAGTTATGGATCTCATATTGCATTTCTGTTAATAGATACTCAAAAATGTTACACACTGCACCTTTAAGTCATGAAAATATTTTTTTCACAGGATTTTTTTTTTTTAAATATGTAATATTGGTGATCAAAGATGAGTTTTAACTGGGATAAAATTATTGCTTACAGGGAGATTAACAGATCTGGAAAGAAGAAAGGTCTGTGTTGTTCCTGTTTAAATAAACCCACACGAGCATTTTTTTTTTTTTTTTTTTTGTATTAGTTTGTCAAAGTAAAATTGTCTGTCTATTGATATTTGATGTAATCAAATGTTTTAAACATCATTTATCTGACCTTTTTATCCGCAACAGCTTCATCTAGAGGACTGAATCTGTGGTTGGTGTGTTTTCGGGAGTCTCGACACACCACACACACGGGCTGTTGATCATCCAGACAGAAGAGTTTGAGCTTCTCGTTGTGATCTCTACAGACTCCAGATCCAGATTTCTCTCTTCTCTCCTGTTGAAAACTCTCACACAAGTTCCTCAAAGCCAAATTTACTGGAGTACGATCATTTGAAGATGTTGTTCGGCAAACCGGACATTCTTTAAGTGTATTATTTTCCCAAACCCTCTGAATACAGCTTGAACAAAAACTGTGGCTACACGAAAGTAGAACAGGGTTTATAAAAATGTCACAGCACACCGGACAAGATAAATCCTCCTCAGAAAAAGATCTAGACGCCATTTTTCATAGTTGCTAATGAATCTCAAAGTAAAGTTTCACTTTCTTATAAAGCAAGGCTAGGCAGTTTCAGAGAGGCTACCAATAGAAAGTTAGTCTTGAAAGCACGTGATCTCACACTTCCCTTCAGAGCGTCTCCAAAGCCACGCCTCCTCCAAAACACATGCACGCGCACTGCAGAATTAGAATCAGAAAGAGCTTTATTGACATGAATGTTTGTTTACACACATAAGGAATTTGTTTTGGTGACAGAAGCTTCCAGTACAGAAGGCAAGTACAAACAAACATAGGAATTACACCAAAATAAAATATAACAATATTATAAGGAAAAAAAAATCTAAATAATGCAATTAGTACAGTAAAAGATATATAAACTTTAATTGACAAATCCTTAAAATCTTTGGGGGGAGGGTTTAATATTTGCAATCAGAAATATGCAACCCCCCTAGATTTTAAGGATTTATCAATTAAAGTTTATCCAAAGAGCAAATTTCTATTGATTGTTTTGAAATAAAAGAAGATAAAAGTTTTAAAAGTGTACATGGTTTTCATAAAATTACAGTGTTTTACTGTAGTAATATAAACTTTGTAAAGGTCAGGAATTTGATGATGTGAAATTGAAGTGTTGAAATGTTAATGTTGTTTCAGCATTTGTACATCGGATTGCAGCATTGATTTATGTTAACGTTACTTTTGTTGTATTTGCAGCATTAAATGAGGCTACAAATATGATGTTGAATCAACATTACATTGTAACATTGATTTCATGACATTCCAACAGATTTTTTACGTTCATTTGTTTTTTCACGTTCATTTGTTCATTTATTTTCCGACAACTGGGAACTGGATCTCATGTTCGGCTTTTCCGAGAAGCCCCTAAGGGGGCATTTACGGGCCTTTGCCCCCCAGTAATGAGTTACTGGTCTAATTTCATTTTCTTTTTCTTGCTTTGCCCCCCAGAAATGAATTAATTGTCTAATTTCATTTTCTTTTTCTTGCTTTGCCCCCTGGAAATGAGACGATGGTCTAATTTCATTTTCTTTCTTTGCCCCCAATAAATGAGATAATGGTCTAATTTCATTTTGTTTTTCTTGCTTTGCCCCCTGGAAATGAGATGATGGTCCAATTTCATTTTGTTTTTCTTGCTTTGCCCCCTGGAAATGAGATGATGGTCTAATTTCATTTTCTTTCTTTGCCCCCAATAAATGAGATAATGGTCTAATTTCATTTTGTTTTTCTTGCTTTGCCCCCTGGAAATGAGATGATGGTCCAATTTCATTTTGTTTTTCTTGCTTTGCCCCCCAGAAATGAGTCGATGGTCTAATTTCATTTCCTTTTTCTGGCTTGCTTGCGATGTTGTCTGAAGCTGAAGAGAGAGAACATTTAAATTATTTATTTGAAATAAAAGATAAGCATATATCATGGCATAATCCAAATTTGAAGGGAAAAAAAAGGGTGTACAACAGCAGCCAATGTCTCAGTCCATTATGCACATTTAAGGGTAAAGGTGGCACCTGCGCCTCCATATGTAGAGGCTACCAATCACTGCTGATACAGAGCAATATCTGGTCAGTTTTTTGGCCTTGTTCTTATATAGTCTGCAAATCTGCAGGCCTCTTACACACAACTTGTGCACATGGCCTAAACTACCAAAAATGAGGGCAATAACTATACAAGAATAGCCAAAGTTATTGAATACATTGTACCAGGGTTGATATTTCAGCAGTTTTGAAGCATAGCAGGTGTCCATGTAAGCATCAAAAGAGCAACCAATTTCTATTATTGTAGCGGCTTTGGTGTGTTCATTAATTACAACTATGTCAGGTGTGTTTGGAAAGTGATTTATGGCAGTTTCCAATGTAGTGCACTGTTCGTGTGGAGGTGAGAACCAGTCTATCTTGATATTTTCATTACAATGGATTGTGGTAAAGTTGACATTGTCTCTGAGCTCCTTCACTACGAGTGCAACAATACGGTCATGGCACGCGATGTACAGTCCTTTGTAGGCAGGGCATATGCGCGATCGATCGTGTCTCTTTGCCGGCTGTGATGTTGCAGGCAAAACGGCTCGTGTGCAGATGGAAACCATGTTGCTAAGTAGGACTTTGTTGGTAGTACCTGAAGACGAGCTTTAATTGTAAATCTGTGGATGTCATCTTGTAGGGCTGTGTTTTTCAAAAGTGTGTGTGACACGTTATGGTCAGCACAGGGCAGGCAGGCCAGTTGTCCTTGTAGGCGTAGGCCTGTCCAGTGCTGTATCATACGCAAATGGAAATGATCGATTATTGTCCTTCTGATATTTTGAGTGTCAAGGAGTTGAATGTTGTCGCCAGTTATGATGGTTCCCTCCGCCATAATGGTTGAATCCGTGACAATGTTCTTATCAGGGCTGTAGTACTCGAGTCCGGTCTTGGACTCGAGACCGTTTTTCTATGGTCTCGAACTTGTTTCGGACTCGGACTTGTCTCGGTCTCGGCCACTGGTCTTGCCAAATATGTAGTCCAGGTGTCTTTATTATGTTCCCAGTAACGTATTATTGTAGTATGCACCCGCAGAAACCTCCACAGATTACCGCAGATTGTAGTGCCAGTCATTCACAAGTACGACCTGCGCGTGTGTGATTTATTTTCTACTATTTGCTACTGCAATACCGGCGCATAGCTGAAATAACAGATCTGTCTATTCACTGCTGATCATAATATGAAATTGCTATATGGACTAGTCACTGTGAATATTAAAGACTGCTATCAAATCTGATTGTTCAGCGAGTCTCTGCAAATGAGTGCCGCAGGTTCATGTACTACACACACTCAAGTACACGTTTATCTTCAGCATTTCATCGTCAGATACACTCAGAAACCCGTCAAAATAAAAGTTCGGTTTAACGTGAAGAAATTACCACAGATATATTTTACTGGAGTGAAGCTATATTGTCATTTAGTTGCTCAAATGCTCAGTAGGCTACTAGTGCCTAGCAGTGGTAATAGTAGTGGGTTGGTGTTTGTATCAGTTCTAACACTGCTATTATGAGGTATCGCCATATGTCATCATTCTTTTTTCTTTAGATTAGAAGATGATATCAAGGGGAATGTCTATACTTAAAAATCCTGGGTGTTGTGACACTGTTTTTGCTTTTAGATCAACAAATAATAACCCAAAATGATTGTCTTGATAATGTCATGCATAAGACTTTTTTCCTGTCCTGGACTCGGTCTTGACTCGGACCTTTTTGGACTTGGTCTTGACTTGGACTCGACTAGTCCTGGTCTTGGACTCGACAAAGGTGGTCTTGACTACAGCCCTAGTTACAGCCCTGTCCTGCTGTGTTCCTCCAGCGCAGTTGGATATTTGCGCGGTTGCGGAGGTCATTCGGGTCCAGCCAGTCCGAGCGCACGCCAAAGCCTGGTGTGTTGGTGTCCAATTTTCCATTGGATTTTTTTCTGAACCCGAGGAAGCTGGCGTCATCTGATGTAGAAAGAGGAACCTTGCGTTTTCCCAGATGTAGTAGAAGTGAGGCTCGGGCGAGCTCACGCACGGCTGCGTCATCATTATTTAACATCTTTAACAGGTTGCTTATTCTGGCGGCAACATACACCCACTCTATATGAGGGACGCCCAGCCCTCCCTCTCTAGACCTGTGAATCAGGACATCTCTTGTCGAGTGTGCATTTAGTCCTATCCAGCGTCTTACCAGGCCTACAGTCTTATTATTCAGCTCATTTAAGGTGCATTTGGGGATATGTAAGTTTGCAAAAAGATTATTCAGCTCATTTAAGGTGCATTTGGGGATATGTAAGTTTGCAAAAAGGTGCTGTATTTTGGAAAGGGCAATCTCTCTTATGGCCTGTAGTTTCATTGTGACAGGGAGGGGGGATGAATCCACCATGTCCAGCCTTGTGCAGTATTCACTGCTGCTGAGTTCACGTATTTGCTCTTCCCATTCGCCCGCGATGTTGAACCGGTGTCCAAGGTAGCAGTAGGTTTCATGGCGCGCATACACTTTAATTTCATTGCCCATGATGGAAAAGGAGGGTTGCTTGTCTTTCTTGGCTTGATACCATCTGTTGCCTCCACTGCGTCTCTCATAAAACACAGCACACTTGGTGTTTTTCACCTCTAGTCCGGACCATCGCATGAATTTATCAGTATGGGAGAGCATGGTTTTAATCACTTTCTCATCTCTAGATGACACCTGGACGTCGCCTGCATAGGCCTGGACAGGGTTTGGTGATCTGATGTGCGAGGGGGAGCAGAGGCACAGCCACTTGAGCTACTGGTTAAGGCCTAGAATAAAGTTTACTGCGCTCCATGGGCAGCCTGTCTTGATGCCAGTTCTTAGTTGGATTGGGCTAGTCAGTTGGTCTCCACAGATCACCTGGATAAAGGTGTTTCTGTAGATATCCTTAATCGTGTTGATAAAAGGTTTGGGTAGGTTAATTTCGTCTAAGGCTTTAATCATAACGCCATGCGGCAATGAGCCGAATGCATCACGGAAGTCTAAAAAGACTGCATAAAACTTGGTGGATTCATGCTTAAAATCATCAATTGCTGTTTTCAAGCAGAAAACGTGCTCATTCATGCCTTGACGATTAATATAGGCTTTTTGTTTTTCCGACAATATGTTCATTTCGCAGAGCCATGGCAGGATGCGATTCAGAATACACTTCATAAGAACTTTGTAAATGGTAGGGAGTAAAGAGATGTCTCTCCATGTTGCTGGGTTGTCAGGTATATTGTCTTTTTTCTGAATTCTGTGAATAAGGGCTTCTTTTCCACGAATTTGTTATTTTCTCATTGGTCAGACAGACATTAAATAATTGCGTTAGTGCGATACATGTCCATTGTTTTGTGGATTTAACTTAAGTGTTTCATATGTAACGCCAACGGGTCCACACGCCTTGTTGTTCGGTAGGCTTTCAATCACCCTTAAAACCTCCTGAGATGTAAACAGCGAGGTATTCGGTGTTTCGGTAGGGGGATTTAACTCTAGCGCATCTAGCCAGGGGAGCGTGGCGAGGCATTCGCCGGTGGCGTCTACTTG